TCTCTCTCTCTCTCTCTCTCTCTCTCTCTCTCTCTCTCTCTCTCTCACACACACACACACACACACACACACACACACACACACACACACACACAATTTCCCAAATGTATGGTAGCATTTAATATTTTAATACATCAAAGGGAGCAGTATCTTTAAGAAGGAAATGATGGTATTTCAGTTTAGAATTTTAGTATAGTTTTCACAAGTTGGGCAGTGGTGACATAAACCTTTAGTCCCAGCAGAGACAGGTGGATCTCTGAGTTCAGTAAGAGTTAGTTTAGCTGGTTTTGCAGAGCAAGTTCCAGGACAGCCAGGGAAAGACAAAAAGCCTGTCTTGAAGAAGAAGAAAAAGAAGAAAGAGTAGGAGGAGGAAGGAAGAGGAGGAGGAGACTGTAATCTAACACAGCCCCAAACAATTTTACTCTTACCGATTCTATTTATTTTTAGGAATTGCATTTGGTTGCAAGCAACAGAGATATTGGCTTAAAAAGAGAATTAGTTCTCTCTCCTCCACATGAAGGAGCTGGAGGGCAGTTCAGGACTGGCTCAGTAGCTCCACACCCAGGAAGCCAAAGGTTTCCTGCTGTCTGTCTGCCATTGTTGGTACTTGGGTTTTGTCTTCATGGTCTACAAAGGCTGCTGGGGCACTAATCATGTCTTCATTCTAGGAAATAAGAAAGGAGGAAAACAGGCAGATCAATAAAGATCTAATCGAAATGCTCTAAAAAAAAATCACACAGCAAAAATACTGTTTGATGAATTTGGTAAATGAGTGCCCCCAAACAATCTACACCCCAGACTTGTCTTCCCCTCGGAAGGATTCTTAATGACCTATTAGAGTCAGTTCTGCTTCCTCAGAAGCAACCACTTTCTGATTTCTATTATTTAGGTTGTTTTTGCCTGTTCTTGGTTCTCAAATAGATGTAAGAGGGTGTGTGTGCTTTCCTGTCTGGCTTCTTCCTTCCTTCCTTCCTTCCTTCCTTCCTTCCTTCCTTCCTTCCTTCCTTTCTTTCTTTCTTTCTTTCTTTCGTTCTTTCTTTCTTTCTTTCTTTCTCTCTCTTTTTCTTCTTTCTTCCTTAAACCTTTTATTGACTCTTTGTGGCTTTTACACTGTGCATCTTGGTCCCACCCATCTTTGTCCCCTTGACTCCACCCTCCACCCCTGAAATCTTCCCCACAAAATAAAATGAAGTAAAATTTAAGAGAAAAGAAGAACATAGATAAATAGATAGATAGATAGATAGATAGATAGATAGATAGATAGATAGATAGATAGATCTTGTTGGCGCTGTTGTGTTGTTATACAGTGAGTCACACAATATACCTTTTAGTCCATAATTACTTTGCTTGCAGCCTGTGCGTGCAAGTGTTCATTACGATGAGTCATTGGCCTGATTCTAAGCCTGGTTTCTGCTACACTATCAACACTGGGCACTCACGGGGGCTCCTCTTCATTATCCTATCTTTGCCCTCTGTTGTGGAGATCCTGCAGCTTTGGGTCTGCAGGACCAGCCCCTTCACATGCTCCAACAGATTACAGAGGGGTTGGATGTTCGGATGGGCCAACTCCTAGCCCTGGTTCAAGGTCTAGGGTGTAGCTGAGTTGGCCAACCCACCAGCTCTTCCCAATCCTCACTACCAGGGTGAGTTCTCCAGCACTGCCCCTGGATAGGTCATCCTTGCAGCAAGGAATGAAGGACAGGGATGGTTCGCCTGCTCTCACTCCTTAGGGCCCACTCACCCACACCTACACCACCAGGGTCAGCTCTATTGCGATGTCAGGCAAGGTGCAAGAGCCACTCTCCCAAGAGCTGCCACTGGTAGGAACAGAATTAGCTCTCTCGCTTTCTTTACCTCAGGGTCAGCTCTCCCATCTACCACAGGTGGCAAGGGGTAAGTCGGGGAGGGAGGGAATCTTTCCCTCACCTTGGATACCACATGGCAGATGAGGGAAGTGGGGCAAGATTTCTCATTCTCACACCCTCAGAGCCAGCTCACCCCTGCCCCCTGGGGTCAGCTCTACTGCGCTGCCCAGGCAAGGTGCAGGATCCCACTCTCCCAAGTGCTACACCTGGTGAGGGAACTGGCCAGCTCTCCCACTCTCGTGTCCCAGGGGCCAAATCTCCCGCCCGCAGCAGGTGTTGAGTGGGGGGGCAAGGGGAGGCAGCTCTCTCCCAGCCATGCCACTACATGATAGAAACATAGATAGAAAAGAAGAGCTCTCCCATGCTCACACCCTCGGGCTGGCTAACCTGTTCCTGGCGTCTGGCTTCTTTTGTTCAACAGAATGCTTTTACATGTCTTTATGACTTGGTTGTACATATCAGCAGTCTGCTCCTCTTTAACACACAGCCCTTTATGCCTCTGCTACAGTTTCTTTATTGAGTCATCCATTGATGGATAGTGAGGTTGTCTCCAACTATAACAATAGTTAGCATGTTCCTATTTGGACACTGCAGAAATTGTTGGCATGACCACTTGCATGTAAGTCTTTACAAAAATGTACTTTTTTGTTTATCTTAAAATGCATAGGTAGAGTAGATTTGGTGACCTGTATAACGTTTTCAGTTTTTCAAGAAGCTACCAGACTCTTTGCAAAGTAGATGTACTGCCTTTTATTTCCAAGAAGAGGTTTGCAAGGTTTCCATGTGATGCGTATCCATGCCGTCATTGGTGAATGATGGAGTTAGTAGCATTAGAACGACTAAGTTTTCACTAAAAAGTCAATCCTTTTAATTAGGCATTCTGATGAGTTTGCAATGCTATCTAGCTGTTGCTGTAATTTGTGTTTATTGATGAATGATGTTGAACATCTTTTCATGTGTTATTTGTCCTAATGTCACATTTTGGGAAATACATTCTCAAATCTTTTAACTATTTTAAATTTTTTTTGGTCATCTTATTAACATTATTTTCTATGTTTTTTTTTCATTTTTATCTTATGTGTATGAGTAGTTTGTATGTCTGTGCATTATGTGTGTGCAGTGCCCTCAGTGTCCAGAAGTGGGAGTCAGAACCCCTGGAACTGGAGTTGCGGATGGTTCTGAGCCACTCGCTATGTGGATGCTGGTAACTGAACCTGGGTCCTCTGCAAGAGCAATAAGTGCTCTTAATAATAAGTGCACCAGATCTCATTATGGATGGTTGTAAGCCATCATGTGGTTGCTGGGAGTTGAATTCAGGACCTCTGGAAGAGCAGTCAGTGCTCTTAACCACTGAGCCATCTCTCCAGCCCCTCTCATGCCACCTCTATGTATTTTGGATACAATTTCTTTGTCCAATATGTTTCTCAGATATTCTTAACAGATTGTAGCTTGAATTTTATTTTCCTAACAATGTCTTTTTTTTAGTTTTGATTATCAGCATATCAATTTTTAATTTTGCAGTTCATATTTTTTGTTCTGAGAAACTTTGGCCTACTCTAAGATGGTAAAATTTTTTCCATAATTTCTTATAGAAACTTTAAGATTGGTTATTTGTTTATTTGTTATTTGGTTATTGGTTATTTGTGAAGCAAGACTTTGCACACTGGATTAGCTTGGCGTCTTTGTGAGGAATCTGTTGGCTGTAGGAGTCTGAATGTAGACCTTCATTTCTCTTTCACGAATCCCTTGACCCTGGGTCACTGAACAACACACGCCTCAGTCTTGCTTACAGCAGCTTTGTCAGAAGAGAAATCAGGAACATGGGTCCTCCAGGGCGGACCTTCTCTTGATGTTCCTGAATCCTTTGCATTTCCACATAGATTTTAGAATCAATTTCTCAATGTCTCCAAAAATCTATGTTGAGGTTTTGAAAGAGACTATATTGAAACCATAGATTGGTTAGGATAAAGTGGACCTCTTAAACTTCTTGAGCCTTCTGATCATGACACATGACATGGATCTCTGCTTCTTTGATTCTTATTGGATGTTTCTGAGGCCCACTTCACTGCTTCCAATGTAAAACCAAAACCAAACCAAACAAAAAACCTCTCACTTTTTCTCCTGTCTTTCTTTATATTGTCTGTTGTTTGAGGTTTGTGAAATCCCAGTTTTCAATAGTAACTTACATATTTTGGATATTCATTTTCT